ATCAAAACTAAAAGAATAAAAAATTAACAGTCCAGGAGGTAACAGACAGTGCAGAACTGACAAAAAGACAGATTTTCGGCTGGTCCCAAGTCCCATTCTACATACTGAAGCAGCAGAGGGATACAAGTCTACAATTTGGAAAACACAGATGAGCTAAAACACCCCATATTTCGGTTCACCTGGGGCTGATACACATTTTTAAAAGTTTTAATTTACTGCATGCACACCCACTGCGGGATCTGAACATTCTGTTTATTAGAATGCTCTCAGACACGAAGCAGTGCGTACACAGAACAAACTCCATTTCTTTTGCAAATGAATAAAACAGTTTGCAGAGTAGCGGTTGTCAGAAACCAAGGAAAAGATGGACTGTACAAAAGAGTGGTAGAAAAATATTAAAGATTAATGATCACTTTCATGCCGAGACACAAACCAGAAGCTCTCGCACAAGTTCTTAACCCCATGTTTGAAAGGGAACTAAGTGCTTTCACCTGCTATAATCTCAGTCTGGGTTTCAGATGAGTGACCCAGGCTGAAATATTTTATTTCCGATCCAAACCACCCAATCATTTCCATCTATCTGGATGCTACAAGAAATAGGGACGTGCTAATAAAACACAACTTATAAATATGGTTTTGCACTGCTAAGGAAAACGAAAAATGCTTGCTGTCTCTAATCATTTTAATCGCGCAACCTATCAGTATTGTTTAATATCCCAAGTAAAAACAATTAAAATAAGTTGTTTCCACTAACACAGCAAAACGCAGGAAAAATCTCCCCTGAATTATCTATTTTATGGTAACTTTATGTTAGAGATTTAAAAAACAAAAGTAAAAAGTACCTGGAACATCAGTGAAAGTCTCCCCAAGGACGGACACGTGAAAAGGTAGATCCTGCTCCTTCAGTTTCAGCAGCACTTTAAAGAAAGTTTCAGGATCTTTGTCGTGTTCCCTTGAAATAAACAGAACTTATCTCAGCATCACTTGTGTTTACTTCTGAAATTGTTTTCTGTTTACCAGAACAGTATTTATCTTCAGTTCTACTTTGAGTATAAATTCCCTCTTTGTTTATACAGCATGCTTGAATATTTTCCTCAACCCAGCACTCAGGAACAGAACTGCTTCATGCGATGCTTGTATCTCTTCTCTGTCCTCAAACAATGCAACATCACACTAGAGAAAGGATAAGGTGGGAAAAAAACATGTTTTTCCTTATGTATACAATCTTCTCTCCAGAATATGCTTATTCTTTATAGGAGATTGCACGCTTATCCTATAGTACATTTCACCTTTTTCTTTTTTTTTTTTTTTTCAGGATTAACACATTACTAAAAACCTTTTGCTAAAAAAATAGGATCTTCCCAACTAGAATGTCATGGATCTGTGTACCGACGAAAAGCTTCAGGTGAAGAAGAAAAGAAAGAACTAATAGAAGGCAAAAACAAATTTGGTTAATAACAAAGTGGAAAAAAAGCAATTGTTCGTCTACTGCCTTTACCAGGACAGATCAATAGTTAAAAAGATACCACAGATGATCAAAATCTCCAAAATCTGGTAGATGATATTAAAAACAAAATAAGATAGTTCCCCACGCTAAGGTGAATATTACATACATCTCGCACTTAATTATTCTCCTTTAAATTATTGCATTTTAGACAGATGTGCGCCACATGCCTTTAAGATATTTTGGTTTTATTTATTATTTAGAAAACTCCACTGTTTTCCTTCCTGTACTAAGGGAAAACCTACAGCTCAGTGGCCCCGATGTCTTTCTTCACAGACTGATTTTCCAGAATGAATCCGTAGGTTTGTCGCACCGCTATATGAAAGATTAATAATTATATCGTTCAGGAAATCTGAAGCCAAATGACATCTGCAGCTCTACATGTGTTAATTTCTCATTCAGTCAATATTTTTGGTTTAGGGAATTAAAATAAATTAATCTTATAATTAATATGACTTTCCTAGGCTGCAAAAATCGTCAGGAACAGGGAAGTTCTCTGAATCAGATGCATTTTTTTTTCTAAAAGCAAGCCAGACAATAATTACTTTAAGAAGTTCTGTATCTCCCAGATTTGTTTTGTTCCAAATAATAAAGAGGAATGCAACAGCATAAGCTTCCTAATTTGTTTCACATCTGCAAACCAGGAGTCTTCACGGTGATTCCAGTAACTAAAGTGGATAAGAGAATTCGGACAGAGAATTTCTTTTAGCTGCAAGAACACAAGAGCTGCTTGAATTGAGAGATCCACCTGTTTCTGGCAGGTAAATGATCAGTCCAAGCCTATTTCCTGTTCCCTGTTTGCCTCAGTTTCCCTTTTGGGCAGGTGCTCACGATGTGTGTAAGTGATCCTGAGGAGCACCGAGGCCTGCAGCTTCCCATCCACAACGGGCCCCGAGTTCACATGTATCCTTCCAAGCTTTTCACAGCCGCGCTATCGGCTTCTCAGTCACAAAAAGTCCTTCCAGAAAAGGAAATGCTTTCCTTCTCCCCTTCCAGAAGAGACCAGGGGTCCCAGAGGCAGCCAAAAGTGGAGGATGCTGTTGGAGCCACATTGTCAAGGAGCTGGCAGGAGAACGTGAAGCCTCGCGGCTCGGAGAAGCCACATAAGCTGCACATATTTAGGAAAACTGATAGGAATTGGAAGTTGCAGCTTTGTTTAATAGGTGGGGAGGAACAGAAGGAAAATTTGGCACCCAGAAGGAATGCTGAAAGAGGAAATGTTTCCTCTGCACTGGAGGCTTTCTTAAGGGTTTTCTGATGTAGGTGATCCTCCTTCCTCATCCCCTCTGAAATATTTGGCATTTAGACAATACTTGGAGGTTTCAGTGACTCGTTTTGTGAACTTTGCCATTTTTTTCTCCTCAGAAGGTCATGCTGTTTGAGCTGTCTGTTCCCGTGGCTTTTCCACAACGCAGCTATTTCATTTTCAGTCATTTTTGTTACGACCTAAAGCAAGCTCTTGGCATGTGCACCTACAGGTGGCAATGCCTTCTTACACCTGCACATTAGCACAGCTCCTGGTAGAAAAGACTAACTAACACAAGACCACCTCTTTACCGCACCAAAGAGCGCTACGTTTCTTGGCTGACATGGAGAAAGCCATATACAATCCAGTCTGCCTTACTCAGCAACAACTGCTAAACACACCAGATTGTCATAGCAGTGATCGTGGAAAAAGATGAACACAATATGGAATGTCTGTTCTGTAAAGATCTGCTCAAAATGACGTGCACTTTTGGCTGCATCTGTTGCATTTTGGAGCTTTATTAAACAGTATTAATTATATATACTCCATTTCCTTAGGAAGGACTGCAAAATATTATAAAAGCCTGATATAAAAATACAGAATTTTCTTTCGAGATATTACCTTTTGGGGAAAATTAAACTGATTTGATTCCAGGGTCTGGCTTAGCTATTTAGATTAGGTATTTGAAATGCTCTTGGATTTTTACTAGATATGATCTGCATCTGGTAAAGGAAAAGTAAGAACTGGGCACGGTATGAATGCAGTCTAAATTTCATCCTAAGAACATGAAAGCACCAGAATGGCCAAAATCCAGCTGCAAACTTCCACAAAATGGACACAGACACCATCTGCTTCCTGCCCATACCTATATTTGCATTTGAGCGCAATGCTCTTGGAACTGCTCAGTCTCCAGGTTTAAATATTGCACGCTAACATTTTTTTTTTACCTAGAATTACTCAAAGCTTTTTAATTTTTCTGTGGGATCACAGTTCATCCTGATTTATGGTGACCGCTTGTAAACCAAAAATCTTTCAGGACTGTCCCCACATGAGCAATGGGAGGGCTGTAGCATTAGTACCCATCACTATCAAGCTTCAATTATCTCCACCTTAGATTTTCTGTTTATAACATGGGTGTGATAGTATTACTTTTTCACCACAGAAGGACACTGTCAGAATTAATTGATGATTTGACATCCCTCTTTTCAGTCTAAAATGATTAAGAACCACAGCCTCTTCACACTGCAGCGATGCACCTCTGTACAATCAGTGGTAAAAGTCTTCAAAACACTCTTCTGCTTTTCAGGGATTTTATTAATTTAGACCAAGAACCCCAGAGCTTTGCCCTTTGCTGGACCTGGAAAGAGACTGCATACAAGACAGCTGAACCTGAGTTAATCCTTGCTGCTGCAGGACACCTACACCCTGACTAGTGATGGAAAATACATGGGGACAAAAATAAATAAATAAAAAAAAAGGGATAGCAGAATTTTATGCACTATTCTGAGCATATTCATCTCTTGAATTTAAGTGAAATTTAGTATGAGACCCAGGTGGTTTTCTGTGACTCGAGCTTACATTTTTAAGTATACATAAACTTAGACTTGGTGATAATCCCAGTTATTTAGAATTTGGAGAAAGACACATACAGCAATGCAATTGGAAAGCAGAAGAGTTGGGCAAGAGAGACAGAACTTGCTCAAAGCCACAAAATGAATGCAATGTATTAAAAAGAAATCCAGTTTAAAATCTGTGCAAGTTAGTCAGTAATATGAAAGTGCTGAGCCAGGGAGAAATTCTAAATATTTCAGATAATGCTGCACGAAGGTTTGCAACGATTCTGGTCCTGTCATCTCCCAAGGTGGGCCATACTCTGAAAGGGTTACAAATGAGCTCAGCTAAATGCAATATTAAAAAGCTTGATCTTAATCTTCTTAAGACATTTAGCATGGCCGATTTGCAGTATTTCAATGGTAGAGAATTCAAAATGGTGAAGGGCACACTGTAATATTTCACCTCAGACAGTGCTTGAAATCCAAGCAATTCAAAACATTTCTTACACAACAGTGAGTGCAACACATTGAGAGCCCAGAGAGGAACAGCAGCACTAGTTCCAAGTCACAGAGGAGTAACCTATGGTAAGCATCAGGTAAGGAACCCTCCTTCCAACCTGTGTGCATCTCCTGTTGCCTGCTAACTCCATAAAATCTCTTGAAAGTCAGACAGGCAAAGGTGAGAAGTGGCATTACTAAAAAAAAGTAAAAAATCTTCAGAAGTAAAAGTAGCATTTTAGCACTTTTCTAAAATATACAGCAAGAGGTGAAACACATTCCTGGCTATATGCAGCTATTGACAGAAAATGGCTCACAGAAGAGGCTGTTAAAGAATTCTTCATTATTTATGAGGTTGGGCAGCATTTCTGGAGACAGAGAAAAGAAATAGGAAAAGGCAGAAGGTTGGAAAGAAAGGAAAGAATACAGAAGAGTCAGACTCTGATGGAAATAGAAGCTGCTGAGAGCATTTGAGAGCACTATCAGTGGCAGAGAAAAGGTCAGAAAAATATCAGTAAAGATATAAATTAGGAAGCAAAAATAAAACTGCACAGTAATTAAAGGAAAAGAATGGAACAGAAGGAATAAAAAGAGGAAAGACATTCAGCAATGTTAGAAGAGAAGCATGGTGCAAAGAGGATGGAGAACAAAAGAATCAAGGACGAGAAGGTAGAAAACTCAAGCAATCCACTGAAAAACTTCAAATTTCTGAGACAATGAAGGAGAAGAATAGCAGGGGCTGCTGAAAACAGGGGGAGCAGCAAGGCAAGACCCACACCTTTATCACAAGCAGAGCCAGAAGCTGGAAGGTGCCCTTATCCCAGTAATGTTCTTTCTTTGGGTGATAAAAGCAGGAACTTGAGGTTCTCTACCGGTTTGGCTGATATACTGCAGACCTGGGGAGGGCGATGAAGGATGCCTTGGGCTGATAAGAGGACTTATATGACAACAGCCTCCTGCTGAACCATCTCTCTCATTCTCAAGAAAAAAAGGGCAGCACATGAAGAAGTAAGGCAGCCCTGAAATGCACACTCCGCTGAACTAGAAATGGGGCTTCAGTTCACGCTAAAACTAACCTAGAGAAAAATTATCAGTGGTTTAAGACTGCACTGCACTATTTACTAGAATACGCCTTGATATTTTGCATTACA